ATTGTATACCTGCATTGTTTATGTACATTGTATAACTGACTTGTCTTTATATATCATTTGTACACCTGTACCGTTCATGTACACTCTGACCCAATGTGAAGTTGAATGATTTATATATATATATATATATATATATATATATATATATATATATATATATATATATATATATATATATATATATATATATATTTACTTTCTTTACTCAATGTCTTGCACTTCGTTTCACTGGCCAAGACCGTTGAGTTTTCACTTATAGCCACGAGAGTAACCGTGTAATTTGTACACGGGCTGAGGCTCTGGATTTTATATTTGCTGTTATCAGTGCGGTTAACTGAATTGCTCGAGGGAGTCCAACTGAGTGTGTAGACGGTTGTGTTTGGCACCTCGTCCCAAAAGACATCGATGGAGTTTGATCCACCCTTCAAGTACAGGTTCAATTTACCTAAGGGGAAGAGAAAACCGTATTCAATAATTATGCCATATAGAAGACTCTTGTGTGAGTTTCGTCCAACCTCGTTATAACTCCATAAATGATGTACAAATATTAAGATCATCTGAGTTTTCATATTCCAGGGAAGGGTTAGGTTAGGTTAGGTTAGGTTAATGTCCAGGAGAGATAAGTAGGGGTGTCTAATATTCATGTGATCTATTATTGCTTGTATAATATAAAGTTTGTCATGACAAGACAACGTCACACATCACATGGCCCGACATATTATAACCCAGGATAACATCAGTCACAATCTGTCTCAGTACTACGTATAATCACACCTCGAAACATCACATAGAATCATCTAACAAAACATAAAATTACATAACATCACATAATATCTCATATCATCCTATAAAATCACATAAAATCACATATAATCACATAAAATCACATATAATCACATAAAATCACATAATATCATGTCAAATCACATACTATTACATAGAATTATATAACATTGTATAACATTACGTAAGAAAATCACATAATACCATCCCACCACCCTCAGTGTCAAGACCTGACTGAATTACTCAGAATAGGCAAACTGTACTCCAAGCTCTGTCAATAAATATTTGTGAAACTAAAACAAAAAAAACACGGACATCCTTTCACACACACACACACAAACAATATAATCATAAATTGAGGTTGAGATCATGAAAGAACAAACAGTGAAAATACACTCTCTCTCTCTCTCTCTCTCTCTCTGTTGTGCTGTGGCTTGCAACAAAGGCGGGGTGGGAGGAGTTGTTTCCCATCTGTGTTGACTCACCATCATCTCCGTCGTCCTGTGAGACAAAGAGAAACTGTGATTGTCTGAAAGAAACTGATATTAATTAGTTAAAAGCCAGAATATTAACAGGGGGAGAGAGAGAGAGAGAGAGAGAGAGAGAGAGAGAGAGAGAGAGAGGATAACCAAAATTTACTCTTCAAACCTTAAGCTTTAACTATTTCCTTATTTCCTTCTGTCATCGTTAATGGTATGTCATTTATCTAAATATAAATTCCTACGGCATCACTACACCAGAACACCACATCAACACCATAACACCACGACATCACAACAACACCATAACACCACGACATCACAACAACAATAACAACACGACACCACATCAACACCATAACACCAAGACACCACATCAACACCATAGCACCACGACACCACAACAACACCATAACACCACGACACCACAACAACACCATAACACCACGACACCACATCAACACCATAACACCACGACACCACAGCAACAAAACACTACAATAGCACAACACCACATCAACATCATAACACCACAAAACTACATCAACATAACACCACAACACCACATCAACACCATAACACCACGACACCACATCAATAACACTACAATACCACAACACCACATCAACACCATAACACCACGACACCACATCAACATAACACTACAATACCACAACACCACATCAACACCATAACACCACAACACCACATCAACACCATAACACCACGACACCACATCAACACCATAACACCACGACACCACAGCAACAAAACACTACAATAGCACAACACCACATCAACATCATAACACCACAAAACTACATCAACATAACACCACAACACCACATCAACACCATAACACCACGACACCACATCAACATAACACTACAATACCACAACACCACATCAACACCATAACACCACGACACCACAACAACACCAAGACACCACATCAACACCATAACACCACGACACCACATCAACACCATAACACCACGACACCACAACAACAACCCATAACACCACGACAACACCATAACACCACGACACCACATCAACACCATAACACCACGACATCACAACAACAACACCATAACACCAGGACATCAATCAACACCATAACACCACGACATCACATCAACATAACACTACAATACCACAACACCCACATCAACACCATAACACCACAAAACTACATCAACATGTCACCAAACACCACATCAACACCATAACACCAC